TTACTTTTTATCTTAATTACTTAAATCTTTTTAAAACTAACAGTAACGAAACTTGGGACAAATTACCTAGATACAACTTTGCATATTACGGTTTATAAATTAATTTGTTACATTTTTAATTAGCTTTAAAGATAACATTAGTAAAGTTCACTTTTGGAACCGTATTATCCATATATCTATTTATAGGAATATTATTTCTAATTATTTACAGCATAACTCTGATTTAGTTAATAAATATAGTGATAAAATATGAAATTACTAAGTCTTAACATTTTATTGGATTTTCTGCTAGAAATGTTACAAGAAAATGTATTTTTTAATCGTTTTAAGAGAGAACTCACATTTATATATTAGTTTACAATTTTTAAGAACTGGTTGATTGATTTATTATCTGATGTTCAAAAACGAAAAAATATTATAGCATCCGTTTCATTTTCACGAACTCAAAAGATTTATTCAAAAATACTTTTAATTCTCTTAGGAAATAAAATAAAATTACTAATGTGTTATCGCGAAAATCAATTACATATAATATTGGTTGTGAAATGCTTAAAAGTTAAAAAATAATTTAAAAGGTTTTTTGAAGCATTATTCCATTTTTTTTACATGCAACTAAAGCTAATGGTTGTTTTTAGTTCCTATTGCGAGTTATTTTTTCAAAAGGAAAGTAAACATAACAAAATCTAGGGTATTTTTTTGAGAAAATATAAATGAAAATATATATATATATATATATATATATATATATATATGACCTGAATAACAATCTCCCAAGACCAGTTAAAATAAAATAAATAATCGGGGACAATAACGTTTTGGTGAGGAAGTAGAAAAAAGGAGAAAAATATGAAATGATTTTTAAAAAAAAAAAAAAAAAAAAATAAAATAAATTGAATAAAAAATTTAGAACTACACACGCTCGCAATCTTCGCAGTCGGCGTATTTCAAACCGAGATTTGTGGTTGCGGTCACGAAGTGTCATGGTCGCAGTCTCGTGACCGGCGTTGTTACTATCGCGTTATGGATTTGATTTCTGATGCCATTTGAGGTCCATCGTGTAAAGGGGTTAATGGACATGAAATTTTTCGAGGCTCAAAATTTCCATGTTGGCAATGTGTGGAGGTTTAGAGAGGGGGATGCCAGCTCAGGTGTCGTCCTCGTCACTTACCCATGGTTCATGAGTATGAGGTCCGACGCCAATAACCTTCGGGTGACTTAAAATCAAGATATGTGAGTTCTAATCTTGAGTTTGCCTAAAACATCACTTAAAATATCCTCAAAACTTTCACATGGTGAGATGTGGAAGTTAGATTAGTTAATGTGATATTAGGGTATTAAATTCTTCATCTGATCGTGGTTCGAAATTACTGAGTTCACTAGTCATATAGCCCATAGCTTTGCTTTAGTTTCATACGATATATTAAATCTTATAAAATAATTGTTTCAAAATTTTGTTGGTTATTATACTGATCAAAGCACAGATTGTAGCATTTTGAGCTGCCAAAGTTAAAAAAAAATCAGTATGCTGACTGTTTTTATTATTTATTTGGACTCTCACTTACTTTACTACTTACGTGCATCGCAAAACTCTTTAAATTCTTTGCTAGCAGATAAACTAGTTTTTTACAAGGGTTAATTGAAAAATATAAAAATTGAGATGTGTGTGTGTGTGGAAGGACAAAAAATTTCTTTATGAGGGTAAAGTTTTCAGTAATATATTGAATAATTTTAAGTGAACTGCAAATCACAGATTCCTAAGAAAGTTTAGTAAACAAAATGCCAAAATCAATCATATAAATGTATTAGAATTACTCGATATTTCCCGGGACCATTTGAATAAAGTTATACAATAAAGATAAAGCGTTGTTTTCTAATGGCTTTTCATGTAGAGGGGCTGATGCCCGTTTAACCGATCGAGACTGAAAGCCCTTACGTTGGTGTGTTATAGAAATTTTGAGAGGGGGGTACCATCTTAGGTGATGTCCTTGTTACTTGAACACGGTTTTTAATTTAGAGGTTCGTCGCCAATAGCCCACGTGTTGTTTCGTAGTACGACGTTGAAAAGCAATCGATACATCCAAAGGCTTTTCTATAGTATTTTTATCTCAATAGTTTTCTCATCTCAATAGTTAAATTTTTTCTCTGAGAAGGGCAGTCTCCGCAAGCTTACTCTACAACCAACAGCAATGCTCAATCCCAATAGTCGAAAACCAGCTACCCCATTGATCCTTGCCTTAATGAAGCCACTCCTCCTCCAACAAGCCAAGCTAACAACACCAGCAATATCATAGTTTCAAGATAGGGAGTGGGGGATCGATCCAGTCTCCTGTGAAGTTCATCTTGCAAAGGTTTTCTACATGTGCGATATCCGAAAACATGGCTGGAATTAATTCAACCCGTTCCATCTAACTGGCTTAGAAAACAGGAAGCCGGAAGTGGATTCTGAAAGAAATCTATTGCAGCGCACGAGTGGAATTTTTTCGTCTCTCACACAGAAACC